TTTTTTTTTTTTCCGTTTTTGATTCCGAGTTTTGGGCGGTACCGGTCGTTGCAAGGTGGGTGCCCCTCCCGACGCGGCGCGTATACGGGAAGCGCCACGTCCGATAGCTGGGCGAGGTACTGGTGGTTTAAGAGTCTATTACAGAAGGAGGTGACCTGTATGGACAGTGGTCGTAGATACCGGACTAAGTAGAGCCCTACTTACTCTATCCAGTCCTAGTCGAAGCATAGACGTATGAGCCTTGCCACACGGGTACTTCGGGCGCTAGGACTAGCCATATCTCTACAGGTCCCATAGGTACTTTATTCCGATATTCTATTGTGTGGTGATGATAGATAGCTGAGAATCCTCCGTTCCCTCGTGTGTCCCTGGAGCCCGTTCCTGCCCCGCGGTAAGGTGCAGTATCTCCTGACACCCCCGACGACTCCTAATTATAGTCATATATGCTCCCCACCAATAGACGGAGCCTCTCCCCAGGTGCTAGAGGTGTCTGCTCTAATTATAGTCATATGTGCTCCCCACCAATAGACGGAGCCTCTCCCCAGGTGCTAGAGGTGTCTGCTCTCATCAGCGCCACTAGCACTGATGGGGAAAAAAGAAAAAAAAAGAAGAAAAGAAAAAGAACATGCGGGGCCTGCTCTCGACCTGCAGGTGGGCGATACCAGCCAGGGACGCCGGTAGCATCAGGGACCATGCCAACAGGACCAATCCCTGTGCCTCCCCTCAGGTCCTCAAGCCGCGAATTCTCGCCAATTTTCGAAGAAAATGCGAAAAAAATTGCGCCTTATCGCAATCAGGGTATACTCACACTGCGACCCCAAATCCGCGAAGGGCCGATTTGAGGTTTTGGGCATGCTTCGGGTCCGACTGCTGTACCTTTTCGGATGGGACAAGGTCGCGGCAGTCTGGAGAAATGGGGATTTGGTACTTTGCTGGTCACACGCGGCCATCCGCATAACTGTTGTGAACGAAATTTTCGCAGAAAAAAATTCGGAGAAAATGTGAAAAAATAAATAGGGCCCTTGCCCCGCGCCTTCCCAGGCCTCTCACAAATAAGCACACAAATAGTACACTTGGTATTTTGGCAAATCTATGCGACCGGCCCTCTGCCCTTTCTTTTGGGGAATTTGCCATTTGGGATTATAGGTACCAGTGTTGCGAGTATGCCCTCGGTAAGGCTAGGTCTGATTCCTATTGGCGTCATGTGCCCTCCTGGGCATGCTTGCGGCCCGTCAGCTACAGATAAATCACAGGATCAATCCTCCTGTATGCTTCTTTATATATTTCCACCATATTCCGCAAGTCGGCATATGCCCAGGGCAAGGTACAGCGGTACATAGGGAAAGACAAGAGAGGGGCTCGATTTTTTTCGCCCAGAGCAGCTTCGGGGCAGTAGAACGGAGCGATTGAAGACCGAAAAGAAGGGGAAAGGAATCGAAGGCAGTACGGAAGCAGCTGTTGTAGTCCGTCGATACACAAACATCAAGAGGCGATGCTGCACGCTGGCTCAACGAGAGGCCGGGGAAGATGTTGTGAAAATTGACGTATATTTATTTATTTATATGTATATATTTGGCATTCTGTATATATATATACATGACACGTCGAAAGAATTAATGATAGGCGATTTTGTTTTTTATAATTTTTTGTAGGCGAATTTCCGACGGAGTCGGAAAAGAGGAATGCAACTACGTTTGAGGTTTGCCTACGTGGCAGTTGCGCCTAAAAAGTCCGTCAACCGGCAGTGCTGACGTCAGCAGAGTTCAATCGATGCCGACGTGGCAAGTCTAAAACAAGCCCACGTGGCAAATCTCCTCACGGCTCAGGACTGCTGACGTGGCAAGCTTAGGATTGCTGCTGACGTGGCAAGTCTTAGGGTTGCTCCCTGTCGCAAGTCGCAGCTAAATGGGATCTGTCCACGTTGCAGGCCTGGGTTATAAACCCCCTAATCCGGGCAATTTCGAGCGACAGAGAATCGTGAAGGGTCAGCCATCCACGGCCGTGTTTCATTACAACAAGATATGATATGATCCTACGGCCGTGTTTTATTCCGAGTTATGGTCCTCGGCGTCTGAGGAGACTTTAAGGTCATGTTTGCACCAGGCCTTTTTCGACGGAGTTCTGGACGTCATTACGGTCAGAAACGTCCAGCAGGAGCCGTAATTGGGGCCAGATGCAGCCGGAAAAGTTCAAGTGAGAGTATACTCTTAGCGACGGTGACGATGGATGATACCAGCCTGCGTGCAGCGGCTTCTTGATATTCCCCTTTGTCCGCCTCTCTCTCGCGCGCGTGCGGCCTTCAAGTGCGCACGTTTAGGTCCCTGTTCACACCTGGACTGGGATATTTTGGATTGAGCCCTTTTACCACTACCGAAGCCAGATTCATTCACGGAAGTAAGTATGATGCGCTGAGGTACTAATTGTTAGACGATCTTCGGCTACAAACAGAAGACGAAGGCCCTTGGAAGATGACAGACGACGGACTATCGGAAGATCATCACCACAACTCTCTCCTTACCTGTCCATCTTGGCGGGGGACAGAGGGAGAGGAAGCTTCTGCTGGGTACGTTCACACGAGGACATTTCGAACTGAATCTTTCCGTAATCAGAGTCACATACGTTCAGTAAAAGAATCATCCCCTGAGCGTTGGCAACTCTCACGGACACCGGCGATAGACGGAGAGGAAGGGACCTGTCCAGGTTCCACGGTAAATCTTCTCGTTTTGCGTGTCTCTCTCTCTCTCTCTCTCCTCCTCCTCCCCCCCGCCCTGGTGTCCTCCCAACTATGTCGGGGTCTGGGTAGCAGGCGAACGGAGAAGAAGATGCCTATGTTCTAGATCTAAACGATTGTGCAACACACACCTCTGGATCTCTCTCTCTCTCTCTCTCTCTCTCTCTCTCTCTCTCTCTCTCTCTCTCTCTCTCTCTCTCTCTCTCTCTCTCTCTCTCTCTCTCCTCCCAAGTCTGGGTGTGTCGCCGTGGGCTTGTTTGTCTTGGACCCAACATCCTCACCATATCTCTTTCACTGTCCTGTCTCTCGGACCAGAGATGCGAGTCGTGTGACAGCAGCAGACGGCCGCAAAGCCGAAGTGCGACTCAACGCANCTCTCTCTCTCTCTCTCTCTCTCTCTCTCTCTCTCTCTCTCTCTCTCTCTCTCGCTCTCTCTCTCTCTCTCTCCTCCCAAGTCTGGGTGGGTAGTCGTGGGCTCGTTCGCCTTGAACACAACCTCCACACCATATCTCTTTCACTGTCCTGTCTCTCGGACCAGAGATGCGAGTCGTGTGACAGCAGCAGACGGCCGCAAAGCCGAAGTGCGACTCAACGCATTCTCTCACACGCTCTCCTTCTCCCATTCTCTCTTCTTCTCTCATCTGCCTCTCTTCGTTTTTTGTATTTCTTCTTCGCTGTTCCAATCCCTGTCTTATGTACGTGTGCGTGCGCGCGCGCGCGCGCGCACACTGCAGGGTTTCGTTTGTCCATCCGTGACTGGCCTCGTTACCTCGTATTTCCGTTCCCCCGCCCCGGTCCCCAGCCCTTCCCCCTTCCCCCCCTCCTGCGCGCACAGTGCGGATCCCCTCTCCCCTTTCCCCCCGCCCTCGCCCGGTAAATCATATTGGGAGGCGGATATCCCAGGGGTGATCGGACCATCATCCCTGAAGTCGAAAAGCCTTGATGAAGAGGACATAGTCGCGCTACCGTAGGTCGCGCGCGCTTTCCCTGCGACGATGCATCTAACCGCAATTGCAGCCAGATTGGGTCCGAAAATGTGCAGCACTATGTAGGTAGCGGCAGTGTGGCCGGCCTTTTACTCTTATAAGCCTGCCAGCCCCCCTCATCAATTGCTGTTGCTGGTCGTCCTTGTGAACCTCTGGTGCTGCTACTCCCTCCCCCTCGTCGGGATCGGGATTTGTCGGTTAATCTGACAATAATTACCCCGACGATGACGTCGACTGCAGCAGCAGCAGATGTCCCGATCCCGCCGGGGCTGACGTGTCCTATCTGCATGGATGTCTTCCGCGATCCCGTTCTGGTCCCTTGCTGCTCTAATACCTTCTGCCGCACGTGTCTCGATCAAGCGCTTGCTAGGAACGACGCGTGTCCCATCTGTCGGGCCCCGATCCTCGCCGTAGGGGATCCCGTTCTTCCCAACCGGGCAGTGGCGGCGCTGGTGCAAGCTGCGGAGAGCGCTATCATCCTCATGCCGGAAGAGGGAGAGGGGGGGGGGCAATGGCTGCAAAGTCCAAGCATTGGGGTCGGTGGTGTCAGGTCCGGATCGGGATCGTCGGCCGTAGCAGGAGGAAGACAACTGTTGTTGGGTGGGGGAAGCGTTAGCATAGGAGGAGCGTCTTCGTCTCCTTCTTCTCCGTCCGCTGCAAGATCCTCAATAGAAGGCCACGTGGCAGGATCACCGTCGTCAATCGTGATGATGACACGTGGCACTTTGGACAGCTCATCGCCGTCGTCAATCGTGATGATGACACGTGGAAGTTTGGACAGCTCATCGTCGTCGGAACTACCAGCCAGTGGACCTGTGCTCTGGTGGCCATCGAGGCACAGCAGAAGCAGTGCTGGTGGCGGTGTTTTGTGGGGGATAGGAGGAGGAGGAGGGAGAGAAGGAGGAGGAGGAAGAGGAGGTGCGGAGATGGATGTGCATCGTCATGATCAGGGACTTCTCTCTGCGCCCCCTTACTGGGCCTTGAACCGGTTTTCGTTGTTGTCTTCTTCTCCCTTGTTGTATCGGGCAGTATCGCGGTTCTTAAAGTTATGGAGGTTGTTCAAGGCGAATGAGCCGCGGCTGAGGTGTCTGTTCTACATCGGACTTGTGGCGCTGCTGATGATTTTTCTCAGGGTGCAAGAGGAGGAGTATGGAAGACAAGCGGCGGAGGGCCACAATTAACAGAAAGGAGGAGGGGAGGGAATGGTTTTCGTTGCCATGTGTTGCTCCTTGCTTTCTTCTTTTGAGATATACGAGAGGGAGAGGGGAGAGGACGACGCTATCTTCCTCCCAATTTCTTTCTTTTGTGCCTTCTGCTGTCTCGTCTGGGAAGGAAGGGAAAGTAAGGGGAGGCNAAAAAAAAAAAAAACCCAAAAAAACTCTACCGGGGCTCCCCGCTTATCCCTGTGATGCATACAGCCATCGTAACCTTGTTGTCCTTGAGGACTCAAATGTATTATATCTGGAGAGAGAAAGAAGAAAGTCCATCTCTCATTTGAATCATTTCTCATTCACAAGAGATGAAGATAAAGTCCAAAAAGCATCCTGAGCCTGAGGTTCAAACGTGGGCTTCGTGAGTTCCCTCCTCAGGGAGCCCCTGTCCTTCTTTGTTTTTTCAACTTTTTGTTTTTTTGTTCTTTTTTTTTTTTGTGAAAGGAGGTGACTCTCTCTTTCCATTCAATGCATGCTGGGAAACCGACCCAGCGTCCCTTACATCATTAACCACAGTCCTTGGGTTGAGCAAGGCTCTCCAGCCAAGAGGAACCCTGACCGCAGCTTAGCAAAGCAAATCGATCAATAGGAAACCCTACCAGCGTCATCAGCAGGATCCAACTGAAGTGGACTGGAAACCCTACCAGCGTCACAGTCTCTCTCTCTCTCTCTCTCTCTCTCTCTCTCTCTCTCTCTCTCTCTCTCTCTCTCTCTGTGTGTGTGTGTGTGTGTGTGTGTGTGTCTTTACTACCTTACTGAGGCTTACTCTAATAAGGTCACCACCAATTAACCCTAGTTAAAGGTGAACAAAATTAATCTCCCTGTCCTTAGTTTTTTCATGTATATAGAAATTGGAAATTACTAAATTAGCTATTTTTTCCCCTTTTTGTTTTCCTTTTTTTGTTTTGAAATTGGCCTTTTTTTTTTTTTTTTTTTTTTTTGTGTGTGTGGGGGGGGAAGGAAGGGAAAGTAAGGGGAGGCGGGGGGGGGGGGGGGGCGCGGAGGGGAGGGGTTCTCTAATCATTTCCACACTCAAAAATGTCTTCGACTGAATATGGCCATCATTGCAGTCGCGTACAGCCAGCAAGGTTCTTGTGAGGGAGTATGATGATGATGACCTAATCAGAGGAGCAATCAGACTTCTCGCTCTTCTTTTCTTTTCGTTTGTCTTCTTTTCTTGAGCGAGTTATAACGGCACTGTGCAGGCATTCATAGCGGCATCGTCCTCACAGTGGTGAGATCAGACGTTCCTGCATCATCGTCATCACTGCTGTGTGATGAGGATCTCGAGCCGGCCATCGTCATCAGTGCTGTGATCAGGAGTCCGAGCCCTTCAGCAAGATGCGAGAGCATCGTACATCCCCCGTCCCTTCCACCTCCCCCTGATGCTCTGCCTTAACAACAAATCATAGATCATAGATCTATCCACGTTGGACAAGAAATGGCGCCTAATGCATGGCGCGCCGAGTTGGAAGGTGATGACGATCGGATGTTCGACGTGGACGTGTGCAATCTTCCCGCACTCGTCATTGCGCACCCAATGCGAAGGGTGTCAGGAGCCATCGCATGGTCGTCAGGAGTCGCCGCCGCATCGGCATCGCTGTGATCAGGAGGAGATCGGGGCGCCTACTCGACAGGCGCCGCCGCATTCTCATCGCATGGTCGTCAGGAGCCGCCGCCGCATCGTCATCGCTGTGATCAGGAGATCGGCCCGCCCCTTACACGACGACAGCAGCTGCATTCGTATCGCGGTGATCAGGGGATCAAGCCCCATTATCGTCAGCGTCATCGCTGTGATCAGGAGGAGATCGAGCCGCATACACGTCAGCAGCCGCTGCATTCTTATCGCGGTGATCACGGGGTCGAGCCCCATTGTCGTCGGGATCCGTTGTATCCTTATCGCTGTGATTTGGGGTTCGGGCCGCAAGCATTGTAGTCAGGTGCCGCGGCATCCTCAGCGCTGTGATCAGGATATCGAGAGATCGAGCCGCATTGTCGTCAGGAGCCGTCGGATCGTCGTCAGGAGTCGCCACACCGTCGTAAGGAGCCGCCGCACGCCGCATTGTCGGAAAGAGCCATCGCCGCTTCGTCATCGGTGTGATCAGGAGATCGAGACGACAGAGCATCGTCGTCCGCTCCCCATTGTGCTTTACCGACAAGCAACTGGTATGCGGAATCTCGCTGTTGTCATGCTGGATTCAGAATGGGAAGATTCATGGATCTGACATTGAACCGACTGTGGACTCCACGTGGATCCAACGTGGATCGGTTGCGGTACCCACGTGGATCCAACATGAATCCCACGTGGACATGAAGACGATTGACGAAGAACGAGAGCGGCGAGAAGAAGAGGAAGAGTGACAATTAGTGACCAAGCTCAAAGCTGCTTGTTGCACACGCGTCTCAACATCGCGAACGCCCACACGAAGAAGAAGAAGAGGAGGAGGAAGAAGAAGAAGAGTTGGAGGAAGAAGAATAATGTTAATGACTGTGCGCCATTTACAAGGGGACTTGGTGAGTGGGGGGACAAAGGCCAAAACGTTGGTTGGGAAACCCTCGATGCACAGCTGTGGGGGAAGCGCCAGGACTTGGTGAGTATGGGACAAAGAGGAAAATGTTGGTAGAGAAGCTTCGATGCGCGGCTATGTCGGAAACTGCGCTAAGAAGAAGAAGAAGAAAAAGAAGAAGAAGCGGCGCGAAGAAGAAGCAGAAGCGGCGCGAAGGAGAAGAAGAAGCGGCGCGAGGAAGAAGAAGAAGCGGCGCGAAGAAGAAGAGAATAGTGAATGGTGAAACAGGGGTCAACTGGCTTTCGTACACGCTTCAAAAGTTCATCCATACACAACAACCGCGCATACTCATCTCAGCTAAAAGCGCCGCGAAGAAGAAGAAGAAGAAGAAGAAGAAGCGGCGCGAAGAAGAAGAAGCGCCGCTAAGAAGACGAAGGAGCGATGGCGTGGAAGGAACAAGGATATGTCGGAAAGCATCCCGATCCCGGCAAGGACGCCTTCCATCTGTCTGCCGCGTGTGCTTCGTCCATGAAATGCGTCGTAAAGAATCCCGATCTCGGCTAGGACGCTTTCGCATCCGTTTTATGTGTTGAGATCTCCCTCCATGCAATGCTCTCTTATATACTGCGCGAAACTACTAAATTTTATTTATTTATTTTTTTATTTTTTTATTTGAAAGGGCGACAGCGTTGCGCTGTATCCCATCCACGGGTCCCAGGTGGCCGATCCCAGGTTTCAATTGGCAATTTCTTTCCTTTACCCTTTTTTAAGTTTTTTTATCATTCAGCCAGGGCCTACGTCGAACGCGGTCTGACATGCTCTGCTCTATCTACAAGGCAGGAATGTGTGGGTGCGATTTTACTGCGCTCCTCCTCTGGGGTTTTATTTAGGAAGGGATGCTTTTTCGGCCACGTGTCGATCACATGGCGATCCGCTATCTGGTGCTGTCGATCCGTTCATTGGCCATGTGTCGATTCCTTTATCGGCCACGTGTCGGCCACTTGTTGTTGACAGCCAACGTGTCAAAAATCGAACTATCAACCACGTGTCGATCCGCTATCGGGGCCGTATCGATTTGTTCATTGGCCACGTGTCGGCCTTCGGCCGCCTGTTGCTGAGCCCACTCATTCAAAGCGTTCTCCATTCCGTTTAAAATCAATCTTCGCCAGTAAAGGCGATATAACTTGAGGCTTGTCAGATCTTTTTTTTTTTTTTTTTTCTTTGAGGCTTGTCAGATCTACATATAGTTGTACGGCGGTTGGTGGAACCAGTCATATTGTCTGCTTTCAACCAGGCCTTAATCTGATTCTTCATCACAGGATATGTGTCTAGCTTTTCCAAGAGGCACGGAGTGTTGATTCGATCAAAGCATCGCGCAATGTCTATCGGCCACGTGTCGGCCACTGATCTACCGAAAGCCACGTGTCGATAGAATATCGTCCACACGTCGATCGAACTATCAGCCACGTGTCGATCCGCGATCGAGGCCGTGTCGATCCGTGCGTTGGTCACGTGGCGATATGTTCATTGGCCAAGCGTCGACCCGTTCGCTGGCCATGTGTCGATCCCACCGTCCACCACGTGTCAATCCGCCTATCGCCCTCGTTCCGGTTACTTTCAAGGATAACCAACCAACCATGTTCTTTTTTTTTTTTCTTTTTTTTTTTTGTGGGAACATACTATGTACACGCTCAGTGAGTTTGTTTTCTGTTTTTCAATTTTTTGAATTTATCTCATTTCTCCCAGATGTGCACAGGTCTCCACACAGGCGGAGAGTCGTTATCGTTAGCAGTCCACGTGTCGATCGGCCAGCCTTTTCGTTTACCCGCTGCAAGGGTAGCCAAGGAGCTATGTGCACGCTCAGAGGACGTTCCTCTGTCAGCTGTGTCCAGGTTTCCCCGCCCGGCGGGAAATCGATCATTTGCTGGCAAGGGGTGTTTTTTCGTTCACAAACAGAGAGAGAGAGAGAGAGAGAGAGAGAGAGAGAGAGAGAGAGAGAGAGAGAGAGAGAGAGAGAGAGACGGGGGAGGGAGGGGGGCTCGCCACACCACCCAACGAAACGAAAGAATGCGAGTGCATCTTGCCACAACAGGCGGCAAGATGGGAAGATGCACTCCCATTCTTTCCGATTCATCCGGAGTGGAGCGAGGCCGCCCTTTCTGATTGTGGAAGGAGGAGATGATAGTAAAGAGCGATGGAGTTGATGACAGCAAGCTGCCGAGTAACCACCGGTTTCTCTGTATGTCCATCACCTCAGCAACGTTTTTGGCGGGAAGCTAACGTGTCCCTTCGACGTATTTGGCGGGAAGCTAACGTGTCCCTTCGAGGTATTCGGCGGGAAGCTAACGTGTCCCTTCCACGTTTTTGGCGGGAAGCTAACGTGTCCCTTCAACGTTTTTGGCGGGAAGCTGACGTATCGCGGGCTGCACTTCTATCCCTCTCTTACTTGGATTGATCGGAAGGGATCGCTCGTCAGAGTTTGGCGGGAAGCTGGCGGGTCGACCCCACCCACTCAATAAGTTTCGGTGATTTTTCAATCGACCAAGCAGCATTTTATTTTATTTTTATTATTATTATTATTATTTTTTTAAGCTGCCTTCTCCTTATCGGGGGACAGCCATATATCTTTCTCTCTCACCTCACATATCTTTTAACTGGCGTTCTGCCATGTCATGGAACATATGTTTCTTTTCAGAACCTACCACTACTCCTAACTTCCTAAGGCTATACAGGGGACCCCTGGGGCGAGGTCCCACTAGCAAAGGGATAGGATAGAAACGAGTTTGTGGGGCAGTTGAGTGACCCAAATCCTGCCGTGCAGTAGTCGTGATCCCACGGTCAGTATTTCACATGTATTACCCAAAAAAGTAAGGAGATCTTAGTTCCCCTCCTCCTCTCCTTAACACTGGGCATGCCCGTGCAAAGAAAGCTTCCCGCCAGAATCTTTTCAATCGGTTGGGCGTGTGGCCAACCCCAAAAGAGGTTGGGGTCGGCCTTAGCCCACTGGATAGAAGATTTTCAGTATTTTACTTGCTGTTGTGCAATTCTCTCATTGGGTGGAGCCCTCCTTCAATCACGGAGTATATGGAGTGTGTCAGGATCAGTGCTGACAGAAGTCAAGTTTATTCCAGAAAATGTGGCGGTTACTTTGTTCACTGTTGTTGCAACCACCACTATCAGATCATTTGTGATCTGATGGCTGGGAAGCACTCGCCGTGATTTCCAGTGGGAGGTCTGCTTTTTTTTTTTTTTTTTGCCTTTCTCCTGTCTTCTCACCCCAGAAATTCGTAATGAACCTGTCAGCCGGCTGCCACTCAGTGGCGCACTGGATCGGCCACACTCCTATCCGCGACTGCTAATGGGACCTCGCCCCTGCAAGCGTGGCTTTCTACCTCTCTTCCAAGCAGAATTTATTATTATTATTATTATTATTATTATTATTTTTATTTTTTTAATATCAAACCACTCATATTCCAAATGACAATCGTTCGAGCCAGGGACCTCACAATTCAACCCGGAGTACTGGCAGCATCAGCCAGCTTAGCTTTTACAGGCATAGCCTGAGGACATTCATTCATATTCTACCTCTTTTATCTTGCTGTTATAGAATCCCAACTTCCTAGCCCATATTAGCTTTAATATTAACGGCCAGCCATCTTGTATCCTATACATCCTAGCCTCCTATAGTCTACCGCTACCTTATCCTAACCTATCCTATTCACAGACCTACGCACTGGTCTGAGCCCCGCCTAGCCTCGACCGGGAGGAACCTAGTTCCTTCTTCTTCCCCCCCCCCCCCCCCCCCCCCCCCCCCCCCCCCCCCCGCTCCCCGGTGGCACTCTCTCCTACCAGCCCTCCCCTGCAGTCTACCATGACCGCTGACAGGAACCAAGTGTCCTGGTTCATAAAAGAACAAAGCACCAGGCGTTAAAAAAAACTCACAATCCAAAAAGGAGAGCAAAAAGGAACCAAGGAAAAGAGAACAAAGAAATTCTTAGTTTCTACCCCCGAGCTCTACTTCCCAACTAACTGCCTCCTTTGCCTCCTCCTCAGTCCATCTACCCGGTACCAACCTCCCTTCTGGGGATATGTGGGCCAGCTCCAGGCCCCACGTTCGTTGGAACCATGTCACGCCCTTGGTTTGGTCACTTCGTTGGAACCATGTCACGCCCTTGGTTTGGTCGCCTTGGGACAACCTGCGTGACCACTCCGCTCTGATGGCTGTGGCAAGAACGCTTTTGAAGAGTTCTTCGGCCTGCTTCTCTGGCAGCCTTTCTCCCTGGAATCTGAGGTTATTCCTGTCGCCCGAGATCACCCAAAGCATGACCGCCCTACCCATTTGAGAAATATAACCCCAGCCCTCGGTACTGCTGTAGTTCTGTGGGAGGCTACCTGCTAAGACCCACCTCTGCCATTTTCCAGTGGGACCCCAGTCAACTCCATGCTCCCATAGAATCTTTTCCAGTGGTATACTCACCACCTCCACCATTTTCGCGACTTCGGGCATTCCCACCAGCGATGCAACATCGTCTCTGGCGCCTCATTGCACCTATCGCAGGTTGTGTTTATATCCATCCCCTTCTCCGCCAGTCACTGGGAAGTGGGGACCCCCAAATGCGATTGTAGCTACAGTAGAGAGGCTACGGTAGTTTCTGCCAAGGCAAGGCTTGAAGCTGCGACCACAGCCTCGCGAATTCAGACTGCGAGGGTGGTTCTAGATGGGGGACTTGGCGTGACACCGACTGACGGTCTTTTCGCAGACCGTTTCTGAGCCTGTTCTCCTTTTAAGGACCAGGCTTGGATCCAGGTGCTCTAGGCCCATTACCACTGAGTCTCCTACCCGCAAGCAGAATTGTTGAGAGCCTGCCGCAGTGCTCAATTTTTTTATATTAATTTATTAGTATTATTACTGTGATTGATTTTTTTTTATCCCTATTTCAAGAGAGGACCAAGACTCACTTTCTATAATTATGCGTATTGTCACAGAGCTCCCCCCCATGCCTTGTGCTTTTGGGCCATGCTCCGCCACTCACCACATGCGCTAAGGACAATAATTACGGTGGTGTATCTTTCCATGTTCTAGCGGAAGATTCTTTCTCGTTTTGCACATTTGGTGAGCTGTGGAGCGAGGCCCTCCCTTTCTTTCTTTATATGCCTATGTCGCTCCTTTCTTTCTTCGCTCCTCTCTTTCTTTTATGCCTACCGCAGCCTACGTACATCCAGAGACCGCATCTGCCGTAGTAATGTTGTTCAAAGTTCAAGTTCAAACTGGTTCGTTGGCCTTCCAGAAGAAGAAAAAGCTGTGAATGGAGTCCCGGGCCGGCATTTTTTTTATAGAGCATGCTAAAGGGCAGTGCTTTGGAAGATGACCGAGTGACCTTCCCTGTGTCATTTACAGTATGGCAAAACACACACACACAAAAACTGCAGCCTTTGAAAGTAACTTGACCATGTCTGCTTTCTTCTTCGTCTTCTCCTTCTTCTTCTGCTTCTTCTTCTTCTTCTTCAGCCTTAGATAGGCGACTATGATAGGCCAATGGCCCTCCATTCTCAATTGGCCGGGAGTTTGATGGTGCTGAAAGGCGATCTTGGGAAAGCCCCCCTGAGGAGTGCCAGCAGCGCAGCCTGGCCGAAACACGTCGGGAAATTTGCGCATTTCTACTGAGAACTGTGCATCCAGAGCTGTACTGATTGTCTGTTGTGGCCGCTGTTTCCACTATTCACTCTTCTTCTTCTTTTTTCTTCTTCTTCTTCTTCTTCTTCTTCTTCTTCTTCTTCTTCTTCTTCTTCGTCTTCTTCTTCTTCTACTACTACTACTACTACTACTACTACTACTACTAGCACTACTACTACTTCTGTGTAGGATGACTCGACCTTTGTCTTCTTGTTCTTGGTTGGATTTGGGTTAGCAGAGGGCCCCTGAGGAGCAACCAGCCAAAACCCGTTGGCGATTGTCCGCGCTGACTGCGGCCCTGAAGGTGCTGTTATGAGTTTGTTTAGTGACTGGCCTCGCTATCTGTATTCTATACTCTATTCTCCTCCTGCTTCTTGTGCTTGCTCCTTTTTTTTTCTTTTTTCTTTTTTTTTTCTTTTTTTTCTTGCTCCTTTGGCTTTGTGTGGCAGTGCAACAGAATAATTTTGCGGAATAATGCCCGAGACACAGTTTTGACACT